CAGGAGGATCAAGAGGTCGGCAATGGAACAGGAGGACAGATGATGGGAAAAACAAAACTGACGGAGCCTGGATCACAGAGACGCAGGGGGAACCAATGAACCATGGGGTGGTTGTGCAATAGCTGCGGATGTCGTTTGTTCCACAGCAACGTGTACGACTAACCTCAAAAAAATCCAATTGAATGAATCCTTCACTGGAAAAATAAGAACGGAATTGATTTGCCTGATTGATTTGTTTATTTGAGAGCACACAAACACACTTGAGGGGGAGAAGGAGAGAGAAGAGCCAACACAGTGTCCGTAACAAAAAGGTCAGCATTAATCACTGATCGCTGCAGCAAGTCAATCGACAAGATGCTGTCGTCCTTTCAGACACCTGGTCAGTGGATCGTGATAACTGAGAAGGGGGGGAAAAAAAAGTGACTCGATTTCTGTTAGTCTGATTGGTTCATCAGACACTATAATTTTTTTCCCTTGGACCTCCACTCTTTCTGAACACACATCATCTCTTCCACTCTCTTTTAAGCCCTTCTCCATCCTCTTCTCTCATGGCCTCTCTGGGGCTGCGGGGTCGCGGTGTCGCCGCGGTGGGTCCCCTTGTAATAATAATCTCTCCTCCAACAACCTCCAATAGTGGACCTCAGATCTCGAATCTGGAAGCTGAGCTCCAGTGACCTCAATGTCAAGTCTCCAGTCTCTCTCTCTCTCTCTCTCTCTCTCTCTCTCTCTCTCTCTCTCTCTCTCTCTCTCTCTCTCTCTCTCTCTGATGAGGATACTGACCGGTGAAAGGCAGAGCCTTGAGTAGCTGATGCACTGCGGGAATTGTAAGAAGAAGAAGACCAGCTATGGCTGGTGGCGAACCTCCATGGATATGGTGTGAGGTGAGTGAACTCTACCTCACCTCCCAACTCCCTCTCTCTCCTAACTCTAGCCGCTGGTACACTGCAGGGATCCGAAGAAGAAGAAGAAGAAGACCATCTATGGCTGGAGGCGAGCCTATGGCGCCAGGTGAGTGGACTCCTCCACCTCACCTCTCTACCTCAACCTTTACCTCCTACATCACTACCTCTGGCTCCTCTAACGCTGCTCCTCCACCTCCACCAGCGCTGGACTCCTCCAGCGAGCAGCCTGGTGGCACACAAATGAAGCGGAACCTACAACCAACTACTCGGACGGCCTCTCCTGTGATGAGCCTCACATTCAAGCCGGCCTCCATCTGGGTCGTACAATCTGAAAGCGAATTGGCGGTCCAGATGGGAGGCCAAGTGGCCAAAAGAACTCGGCCCCAGGCCCAAAACGTGTGGCCTGGGACTCCATGCTGGTCCAGGCCCTACCACGCTGCATCAGCAGCAAGGCCTGGAAGAAAGAAACAGCCTGACTCAAAAATCAGATCCACGCACAACCTCAAAACCGAGCTGGGCCAGAAACGTGTGAGTGGCCTGAAAACAGACGCCCAATGCATGAACTCAGAACAGACCAAATGCACACACCCCTCCCTGAAAGCAAAGCAAAGCAAACTGAGCCTAGAACAGACGAAAACACATGTTCTGGCTCAGATCAGATAAAACGCACACGCCTGCCTGAAAACAAAGCAAAGAAAACTGGTCTGAGAGCAGGCTAGGACCATACACGTCTGGCCTCAGAACAGACATAATAGCCACCACGCGCGGCTGAATCAGAAGCAAATGTGCTGGGCTAGGGGCGGACATACATACCTGGACTCTTGTGTGTACCAAAGACTCGCCTGCCTGCCTGAAATCGAGATAAGGTCCCCTAGATACAATGCCGGGCCAAAGGGCCTGTGTAGGAGGCTCTAGGCATGCTAAATGGCGTCATGCCTAGGATCTCCTAGGCTAGAGTTGCCCTTCAACTTTACTGAATGGATGACTGTGAGTCAGTAAGAATGCTAGGGCTGGAAATGCACAAGATTTTCTTCCTCTCAAACCACCACTGTGGCCAGCAAAAGAACAGCCCCAAGGCCCGAGGTCCCCATAAATGCCCACGGACATTATCAAGCACAACGAGAAGTGCGTGGAGAATCCATGAGACCAGGAAATGCAGTGGTGGGTAACAGAGTTTCAGCTGCAGCTTCACGTGCCACAAATTGTAAAGATGAGTTGTAGTGTACGTGAGAGAGGGAGGATGCATGGCTTGTTCGAGGAGCCATTTCTGTTTTGTGTTTAGGATGCCTTTGGATCTGTCCTCAGCGTCATTTTAGGAAGTGGGATGCATCTCAGAACTAGACCACCACTCTATTCATGGAATCTCTTACACCAGGAGCGCACACCTTTTTTCCAGTGGCCCAGAGGATTGAAAATCCGCAGGCATTGACACCATTATTTGGGCAGCAGCTTTATCATAGTCCCAATATCACAGCAGCCGCTACTGCTTTCCAACAAAAGGACCAAGTTTTTGCTGCCCTGCACTATCTACGAGGCAGAGCGCTCTGCCAGGCTGCTTGTGACACTCCTCGTTTCTTCATCCAGTGCATGCCTCGCCAAAGCAGCACGGAAATAGGCTGCACTAACCTTACCAAGGCACCCTTATTAGCCATGACAGGAAACCCACTGTCGCAAATCCTTACCTATGATGGGGAGTCACAGCACAGTGGCATTAGGGCTAGGAGGAGGCTGGTCGAAGTGGAGGCTGAGCAACGTAAATCCTTACCGATGATGGGGAGTCGTAGTGTAGAGGGCTAGGAGGAGGCCAGTCGAAGTGGAGGCTGAGCAACACTAAGCTATGGTGCTGTGCTGCTTCACAGCAGCAGGGGTTCAGTTTGAGCTCTGTTATAGCTGCCTGACCCGTGTTTCCTTTCAGAAATTCCAGGTAGCAGTCGCTGGAGGCTTATCCCACCTGTTCTCCAACAATGGCAATCTTGAACAGCACAGCTTTACGCACATACAGATAGGTTTTGGGAGGGTGGTACTGCTATGAAATGTTTATATTGTACAACGGCAAACTTGCACAGCACGGTTCAAATGGGCTTGGGGACACTGATGCTGTTGTGTTTGCAAAACGAATATGATACGGCATGAACTAACCAGTGAGCATTCATTGTGGGTTAGAAATGACCAATAGACAAGAAAAAAGGAAAAAGAAAAAAGAAAAAGGGGACCATATGTTAACAGTTTTGAAACCTTTGTGTCCTTTTCCTCCCCAGACACAAGAAAGAGAAAAGCACACTTTGGTTTGTGTGGCTTTTATGGCCTGAGGCTTCCTTTTTTTCCAGGATTGGAGATAGTCAGGACAGCGGTCTGGATTGGCCATTTCTGTCTCTGGACATAATCCAAGGCCTGCACCAAAGCTGGGTAATGGTACCAGCAAAAAATTGTTCCTTTTTGACCTTTTCCGGGTTGTTTGTGGAGGGATTCCCGGCCTCCCCTTTTTTTAGTGGCAATATAATGAACTTCTTGAGTTTAAAAAAAA